GTGATTGCCTCCTTTCAACAAAGTATTCACAATTACAGATATAACGTTTGTACATGGCACACTTTAATTCATATTTACCTTAACCAACATTATTTTCATCTTAAGTCAACATTTTTCAAATATATTGGCTTTTCTGTTTAATTTATTCCTGAACTATTTAATACTATTTGGTTAACTTTAAGTTCAAAGAGTATAATATGTATTGTAAACAAAGTTCCTGCACAATCCCTATAATCATCATGGGGGAGAGAGATAAATGAAAACACTTTTGGCCTCGCAGTCCTCAGCGTATGCTGGTCCACGTCAATTTTGGACGTCTGTCGTTGGACTGCTTCAAACCCCAGTCTAAAATACTAAAGAAAGAGCAACTGGCATGAGATATGACCGCAGATCTCAGATTTCACTCCGTCGCTTCCAGAGTGCGCAAATTGCAGTCCAATTTTGAGCTACAAAATTGTGTATGTGTAGGTAATAATTCTTTTATTAGTATATTGGGAAACAAATGGCCATACTCTTTACAAAAAATCTTAGATATTCCAAAATAAAAACATTTATCATATAAGAAATGTTCTATAGAATTCCATTCAATCAATTTGATAAATCGGGATTTCAATTTCAAATTTTGAACAAACATCAGAATTGCGTATTGGAAGTAAATTTCTGTTTTCATTTCATATCGTGAGGTTAATGCTACAATTAAATAACTCGAAAATTTTATATAATATCATAAAATCGAATGCTCTTTCATCTGCGACCAATATCTAAGCTTAAAAGGGTTCTTAAATATCTGAAAATAATAATGCCAAAGTTAGATATCTTCATAACAAATTATTTGTTATTGCTAAATTTTGTAAATTCAATATCTCTAAACCAATAATTGCAAGTTATCTAGTTGTAACATTAACCTCACGATATATAGATCATTAACAAAACACAACCATTTAATAAGCTCATACTCTTCAATGCCGTTCATAATTTTATCATATATACACTCTCCGTCCCGTAAAACTTAATATTAAACATTGAAATTACACGTATTTGCAATTGATCGCAACTCCTTAAAAATTATTTTTGTGTCTTAAATAATAACCTTTAAAATAAAAATCCAATGGTGTATTTAATAAAAAAAAATTACATTTCCTGGTAATGTGAAACTTATTTTATCCTCCTTTTATTATTTTTAAAACAAAGACCTTATATAAATTTTTTATAACCATAAAATATAATATTTCTATATTTAAATCTATGTAATAATAAATATATTTTCATATTGCTATGTAACATAAAAATTTCAATATAACATAGATTTTAAATGCAATTTCAAAGCATGTGCTAGATTTTAATCCTTCAGCTTTTCTCTAGGTATATGTACCTACAATAGAAACCATATAAAAATATTTTCAAATTTTTCAAATTACAATAGCAAAATATTAATAATTTAATATTTTGCCAATAACTATTTTTAAAAATACGGAAATAAACATAACCTTAATTTATATATATAATGAACGTGTGTCTATAATAACCAGAAAATCCAATAGACTATGAAAATTATTTCTTTTTCACACTTAATACATACATACGTTTAAAATAAGCATAATTTTTTTATACATGAATTTTCTCTCACACACAATAATACTTGTATAAAAATACTAATTTATGTTTTCTTTACATTGTAGTTCAATGGCTTGAACAATTTTTTTTTTTGACAAACACCATAATAATAAAAATGTTGTTGTCGTCCGTCGTAAATATTTATAAAAAATGAGGAAAAATAGAGTCGACCGTGTCAACTCTGTGATACCCGTACGAATTTGTTAGCCTATGTTCGAATAAATATGCCATAACTGATTATGAATCAGACTATCACTTTAAGTTGCCATATTACCAGATTAATATATGCAAAATTTTAGTACAACCAGAAGGAGTCAAGTGTCCATTGAGCCAACTTAGCTCAATTAGTTTTTTAGTTATCGCTGTGACGGACGGACGCACGGACAGACAAAGCTAAATCAACTCACAATTCAACGCTGATCATAAACATACACTTGAGTCTATATTTCAGAGTATTATTTCTTAGCGTTACAAACGGTAAAACAAATTTAGTATACTCTTCGAACATATGTTCGAAGTTCGTACGGGTATAATAATAATAAAAAAAATTTCGCTTCATTTAGTTTTTAGATACATATAGATTTTCTTTTTTATTTTACTTTATAATTTAATTTTAAAATAAACAACAAATTAATATGAAAAGAATTTTTGAATTTTTTTTTTTTACCTCTAATTTCTAGCGACCTCTAATTTACTATAAAAAAGAACAAATCTTGGCGAAATTATTCTAATGAAAAAAAAGAAAATATTTAACAAAATCATTGAACTTTATAATAAAAATATTTTCTTTTTTTAATTTTCATATAAAATTTGTTATTTAACGTAACAGATGCTTGTTTGTTATTATTTTTGACATTTCTCTTTTCATTTTATGTCAGATGTCACAGTTAAATCTACGGGTTTTATCGCGGAGAGACGAACATAACACTTCGGAACTATTAATATTTAACAATTAATTAAGAATTAGTTCGGTGACTAAATAATTTCAGGCTTTAGACCTGTCATTCGGCCATCAAAATCATATGATTTCTCTCTTTCTAATTACGTTCTTTGAGTGTAATTAAAATTGCGTGTTTAAATCAACCATTCACTGTCGATTACAGCTTTGAAAAATTATATTCAATTTAGTTTTAATCATATGACACAAATATGAGAAAAGTTGACTCAAAATTTGACACTTCGAATTGATTTTCAAAAGTAGTTCCATGACAATGTTGTCGTTGTCAAGGGGTTACAATCTTCCAAATTTTTTTCTATGCTTTTCTTTAAATTAATAAAAAGAATAAAACGTTCAAAAAATCACCCATTATATAAATATATTGTGCAAAGAATAAAAATAACAAAAACGAAAACAAAATATAAAAATATTTCCTGTATCGCATACGTAAAATACGTGACATGAACATTGCACCTAACCCTCACATTAAATAAAAAAAAAAATTCCTTAAGTATTTTAAAAAATTCATTTGCCTTTATACCAACATTTTATCATGAACTTTGTTAATGCCAACTGAAACAAAAAGAAAAAAACAGAAAAAACGAAACTTGGATCATTTTCTTTTACTCATAGCATTCACAATACAACCAAATTAATAATAATGTAAACATATACAATTACACACACACAAATATATTTCAAAAATAATTTGTATCAAATATAGTAAATTTTCTATTACATTTTTAGAATTATTAAGAAGAAATCGTGTTGGAATTAATGGAATTTGCACGATCCAGGTTCAAATTCTAGAGAATGAGAACTTTTCTTTTATACTCTAAATGCTATTTTATCCTTTTTTAAATAAATTCTCTAAAAACATCATTTAATCTGACATTTGGATGGAGATTATTATGAGCACAAAGTACAAAAATGAATGAAACTCAAGCATTTGTGTGGCTATGTTTTGGCAGAGATTTTTAAGTTGCATTGTTCATTTGCTTGCCAATGCAAATTTTTGATACGAACTCGAAAACTGTTATACTAAAACAAAATTAAAATTAAATAATTATTTTGTAGTTTGCAATAATTTTGAGTTATAATAAAATTTAGAAAAATTCAACATCATGCAAAAAAAGAAAAGTCCATTTGCCAAATTTTCGGGAAGAAAAGAGTTAATTAAATTTTTAATTGGGAAATATGTATATGAATTTAAATATTCTTTAACTATTTTCTTTATGTTAATTAATGTGATTGCGTACAAAAATGTGATGTGGTCAGAACATAACCAAGCTCAAAGTGTATTAGCAAAAGTAATTTAAGAATGCAAAAAGGTTTTTGTTAACATACTTGTCAAAATTAAATTTTGGTTGTAAAAACTTATATTTTGGTGGAAGTTCGGTCTAAATTTGAAAAATCTAATCGATGATATTTGACTTCTTTGAAAAGTAAGGTGGCATTTCGCATTGTTGGTCAGAGCTTATGAATAAAATTTCCACATAATGTGTTCAATATTTTTCTTAAAAGTGATCAGAAATACAAAATCGGCATATTGTAAACATGCAACTATTGAGACCCAAAACAGGTATCCCAAAAGTTGATTAATTTGAGAGATGCCGACTAAAGTGAAACTTAAATATAAATTTTCATCAAAGTCATTTTAGTCTAAATTATGATACGTGAGTATACAAACAAACATATGAGAAACTGACTCTCTCTAAATTAAGTTTTTTGACGTTTCTCTGTTCTCTGTTACATTCCTATTGAAAACTGAACAGGTGAAATTTGGTGTCATCATATTAAGTACTTCCCTTATTGCATGCAATACGGTCGGTAAAAATTAAAAAGGAAAGAATAATTAAATATCAAAAATATCAGAAATTCAAAGTTGTCATAAAATGGAGAAAAAAAACAAAACAAGAATAATTAAAATTTCTTTTTGCATTTTTAAGCTATTTTTAAATCGGAGGAAAAAAATTTTTGAATTTTTATTACAAAACATGCAAAAGATTTGCAAAAAAAATGACAGATGAAAGGAAGCGTTAAAATAATTATTTTATTTTTAGTTTTAAAAATTCCATCCAATTTTAATTCAAAAGAGATTTATAAACAAAGAATTTTGAATACAAAAATTATTCATAAAATTATATGAAAATGCTTGAATAAATAAATTTCTTAGGAATATCAAAATGAGATTCCTTCAAAATTAAATTGAAGGTGTAATCGTCCTTGTCTCAAATTTAAATCAAAAATTTTATTTGATGCTACTATAATCTAATGCAATGCAATTTTATTAAATATTTGTGTGTGTTAGCGACCTAAATTTTGGAACTTATCGGGTTATTTTAGTCTCAACCTTTTCAAATAAAAATTTGCCCCGCCAATCAAACTAAAACCTCTAACTAAAAACTCATTATTTTAATATTTTTTCCATAATTTTTATTTATTCTAGCTTATATCAAGTACGATGCTCTCTTCGGGTTTCACCAAGATTGCCTGTACAAATTGAAACCAGTATACCTGAACAACATCAACAACCCCCATCAACAACTTCATCAAGTGCATCAGCAACAAATAATACAACAGCAAATTCAACACCAACAACAACTGTTGTAACATCAAATATAATACCAATTGAAAATCAATCACAAACTTCTCAATTACAACAGCAACAACAACAGCAGCAGCAACAGCAACAAAAACTACAGCAACAACAACAGCAAATACAACAATCGCAACAAACAACAGGTACAACAACATCTCCAACTACAACAACAACAATATTAAATGGAAATTGCTTAGAACAATCTCAGACACAACAACAAACTACACCATTACAACAACAACAACAACAACAGCAGCAACAACATCAACATATATTGACACCACAAAATAATATTTTACCTGGTTCAGCATGTATTATTAATGGAAGTGGTGCATCACGAATCTTTCAAATTCTCTATAGAAATGAAGAAGTCACTTTAAAAGACGTGATCTCATTTAGAGCTCATTTATTAGGTAAGCTTATTTTATTTGTGTTTTTATAAGTACATATAATGTATATATATATATATATATATATATATATATATTTAAATTATACCGTTTAAATTTATTTTACTATATTGTTATACAAAATTTTAAAGAGTCCATAATATATATAGGGGTTTTTTAAAAGAATATTAAATTAGCCAGAAATTGTAAACCTTTTCAATGTGAACTAAACATTTTTTTATAATTTTCAATTTATAAACATCATGGAAATCCAATTAATCAAGTGAAAATTCAATGAACAGTTGCAGTATCCGCAAAACGAATACAAATCTTATTTGAAAATTGTCGAGAAAAAACCGGCTGTCACGCATAGTCTATAATTGGGCCTATAAATCTATTCTTTCTCCTACTTTAGCGTTTCGCTCATTAAAACTTTGACACGCCTTTTAAAATAAAACTTTAATTAGATGAAATTTTCATGGGCAATTTAAGGTCTAACGAAAAGCTTAATTATTATTCTTTAAAAAATTTGTATAAAATTCCTTTTCTAGATGAAAATCTTAATTCTAATTTCCATTATAGGAAAAAAGAAGTAAATTTATAAGAAATTTTTTAAAGGATATCTGTCCTTGTAAAGACGCAGCCAGAATGCGGTTTCCAAAAAACAATTTGCTGTAAAATCCAAAAATATCCGTGCGTTAAACGTAATGCATTAAAATTCGTGATTCTAAACTAGCTTTGCTAAAAATTAAAAATTTTAAAAAAAATATTTTTGATGCCACAAGATTTCAGTTCTGAGATACCAAAACGATAATAGAAATTTTCGATAACCACATGCTTGAATGCCATATGCATTCTAGAATAACCCTAATATAAAATTACAATTAACTTTTTTAAGGATTTTCAATCTCTGGCAAATGTGTTTGGCAAAATATTTTTTATTTTAAATAATAATGGCAGAGCAATCGCATAAATGTGAGCTTTATATTTATATATATAACAGTTATATTTATTATAAACTGGTATATATACGAGTATATATACTCTTGAATACTTGGTATATAGTAACAAATAACTTATACATTATTTTATATACCCTTTTAACGGTTATATTGCTTATTGTTTTGTTTTTTTTTTTTTTGTTAAAGACAAGAAGAGATGAAAAATTAGTTTTTATTGTTTTTTATATACTGCGTGCACACCTGGGATGTAAAACAATGAAAATTTTATTATGGTTTTGTTCTTTTTTATTTTTATTATTATATTCTTTTATTATTGTTGACGTCTATTATTATTTAAGTTGCAGAAGTTTAAACCCCTTTTTGTTTTTACAAAAATTTTTTAAGTGTGAGTGTTGATAGAATAGAAGAGAAAAGAATTTACAAATGACATAAACATACTCTCATTATATTGTTATAAAATAAAAATGTTTACTTATTACAGAATTGAGTATAGAGTATAGGTATCTAGACGTATACACATTCATCTTATATAATTGTTATACGTACTTATTATTTTACATTCACTTTCCATTATAGAAAAGAAAATTTTCATTCTCTGACATGAAAGAATTTTTTTTTTTTTATATTTTAATATGAAACTTTTAATTTTTAAAACTTAGAACAATTACAATAAAAATTTCGATGTATCCTTATTCTAAATTTTACTTGAATTTTAGAAAAAAAAAATTTTTAAGAAAAAAATTTAAGAATTTCAAATTTTCTTTTTGTTTTTTTTTTTAAAGAAAAATTAAATAAAAGTTTTAAAATGAATTTATGTTGTATAACAATTTTGAGTTAGAAAATATGTAGGGCAACTTCTTTTATAGAATTAAATATATATATATATAGAGTTTTAAGAAGAAAAAATTATTTTGTAATTTATTGTTTGCATTTCATTATTTCTCAACTTTACTTAAGGGGTTTCCTTATATATATACGAGTAAATGTATAACAGGCAATATATATATTTTAATAAGAGTTAATAATTTTTGAAAGTACATGTTTTACATAATTAAAATAAAATTATATATATAAAAAAATGAGAATCATGAATAATTTTAAAAATGTAGAGAAGAAAAATTTTTTTAAAATTTAAAATAAAAATTAGAATACAATGAAAACTGCTTACAGGCATAGTATCTAACTTTTTAATTCCATGGCTCAAAATTTATAAGACCGATTATATATAACAGTTATATAACAATTATAACTGTATATAACAATTATATATAACATTCTATAACAGTTGTTATTCGTATTTATAGTTACGTGATAGCATACGAATATACATTTAAAATTTACATGCAAAGCAAACACACAATACAATGAACAATTGTAGGCTACTCATACGCTTTATTTGTAATCAAAATATATTGTTAAAAATTCTGAAATTTTAAGATTAAAGCTACCTAAATCCAATTTTGTAACACTCTAATTTTATTACAAATTTAAATTCTCTAGAATTGAGTGCATTTGCTATAAAAATTTGATTATAGTGTACTTCAATTCTACTTCAAGTTATAATTCCGATTTTATAGATAAAACTATTAAGAATTTTCAAAATGAAATCTTTCGTAGCAATTTTGAAAATGAAATTTAAACTTTAATTTGTTAAATCTAGTTTTACAGTACTTCCCAAAATTATCTTACCATTTAACCTTTTAATAATAAAAATAATTTCGGTTCTGGTCGTTTCCTGTGGTGGCAACAATATTAAATGCCTCGTTGTGTGTTTTTTTTTTAAATAATTGTAAACTACGAAATTTATTGATTCGAAAGGCATTTTTTTTTTCGAAATTAAATGTCAAAATTAATGTAATCATAAAAATATTTATTTTCTATTACAAAAAGAACATCAATACAAAAACATTCTTAAAAAACGTTTAAGAAAATCAAAAAAATTTTAAAATGGCTTTTTCAAATAGAAAAAAAAAATTTTCATTTTTCTAAATTATAAAATAAAATTTATCCTTTTTATATTTGACAAATAAAATTATTTTCACTTTAAAAGAAGATTTAAACCCATAAAGCAATTGAATGCAATTATAAAAGAAGAAAATTTTTTTTTTACTATAACGCGAAATTTTTCTTTGAATTAGAAAAGAATGATTTTTTTTTTTATTAAATTGAATTGAATTTGTAGAAGAAAAAAAATCTGTCAACATTTTATTGTGTTAGTTTGTATTCAATATGAAAATCTTTTTAATAAAACTAGTGAAAAAAATTAGATTTTATTTATATTAAGAATTTCTTTTTGCAGAAGCGATAAAATTCATACGGATGAAGGAAGCTTAAAATATTCACAAAGTGACATTTTAATTTGATTTTCTATGAATGCTACGTTTGTCATAGTTTTACACATATTAACATTGAAGATATTTTTCAAATCTTTTTAAAATTGTTTTATAATAAATTTTTTTAAAATTGATTCATAATAAGGGTCACTTAGAATCAGAATTTCTTAAAAGATAATTCAGAATAAGGGTGATGTTCAATTTTGATAGTGTTACACTAAAATAAATGGGAAATATTCTAATTTGCAGATCAGATTTAATTATTTAAAATGTTAGTATTAAGGTAAAAAATATCTTTAAAAATTTGAAAAATTTCTCTGTCATAAACTTGCAATAGTGTCGGAATGCTGCGACTACTAACATGAGTTTATTAATTAAATTAATATAAAAAAAATTCTAAAATTGTACACAGAAAATATTTTCACTATTAATTCAATAAATTCAATATGAGTTCTAGAAGTCATTTTTCTTATAACAAAGAAATATATTTTTTAATATTTATGCAAAATACTTGTATAATAAACCCAATTAAAATTAACTATTTGTACAATTATTGCATTTTTTTTATTATTAATTGTTTTATTTTTAATTTTTTTCCTCCACTGTATATCAATTCAAAAATATTAAATTTTAATATACTTTAAATTTTCTTTAACAATAATTTTCTACTTCAAAAATTTTAAAGAAACTTTTCTTTTAAAAAAATTTAGAAAAGAATTTTCCAAAAAAAAAAAAAAATATGAGCATCATAAATTCCCATATGAGAAAAAATAAAATTTCTTATAACACCTACAAAATTCTTAAGAAAAATATTTTGTGACACTTTTTTTTTATAAAAATTTTGCAAAAAAATATTTTGTTGTTTAAGAAATAGCTTGCCACCTAAGCTTTTACCCTTTATTTTTTACCCTTAAATTAATTTTTTTACAAGAAATTGAATTTTATATGAAGTTCAATAGAATGAAAAAAATTGCATATATTTTGGCGTGTGTCTATTAATTTTCACAATAGCTATACAAATTCAATTTATTTGTAAATTATGTTTTAACTGAAACTAGTAATTGAAGTTTAAACTAAAATTAATTTAAAATTATTTATTAAAGAGCCAACCTGCGGCAGGTATGCATAAAAATTAGTTAAATTAAATGTGGTTTGAAATATGGCAGCTTAAAATATTGATTGAAATATACATGAAAATTTGATTTGAGAAAAAAGTTTGAGTTTAACTACAAAATCGAAATAATCAACATTTCTCATCATTTTCAAATAAAATCGCTTCAACTTCACTTAATAATATCTGACTCAAATTCAATATTATAAAATACCTTAATTACGAATAAAATCACCATTTTCTATATGAAAATTTCATATTAATAAAAGTGATATAATTAAATTTTTGGAATTATAAGGTAGTTATACTCGAACCAAGACTTCAATTGAACCAAAATTACATAGAGTTTACGATAATAACTTTTACAAACAATTTATAAAAATTTGGTAAGCCTAGCTCAATTCAGTTTTGAGCTATCACTGAAAGGAGCGGATGTACGGAAAGAAGAACTGAAATTAATATATCGACTCAGAATTGGATGCTTATTACATACATACAGAGTAAATAATTTACAATATCTTTCGACAATATTAGTTAGTACAAGCATAATAATCCACAAATTTAATTACTACTCTATTACAAGTAAACGTTACAAATTAAAAATCTTACAAAAAAAAA